CACGACTACGGTGGCCGTCGTATGTATGAAGTGATTTGGTTGTGCGTGGACTGTTTTGGGAGGCTCAATATGATTATTATTGATGTTGTTTGGGCTGTTTGGTGATTGTTTTCACTTGTGGGAAGTCATATAAATAGGGGAGGTGCTGTCCGTTTCATCGTAAAATAGGTTGTGGTCGATACATAATAGTTATGACGCTTAAATGATAACGATAGTATCCTTTCTCTTATTGTAGACTAAGGAGTTGTGACAATTGCATAGCTTGAGATTGGGGCAGTATATACAAGGTATGTGAGGCTATCCCTTTCCTTCTTTTCCACGACCCGATTGTACATAATGTAATGAAAGAGCTTCAAAGATACTCTACTCTTAGAAGCTAGCAGTACTTACATTGTTTCCCCTCTTATGGAACGATTGATGTTAATGTTGCTTATCTTATTCTTATGTTATCAATGTTATTGGTACTTCCTGATTCTTATAAGGTTCATGGTGAAGAGTTAGTCCTAATAACGTGTACAGAGGATACCGACCTTACGTCACTCCGAAAGGTTTAGAACGTGAGTCCAAGTCGAGCATGCATTATATATATGTATCTATTTTACTCTACCGAGCTGCGCTATAGTCGGCCGGGTACGGCACCTATTGTGCAACCACTGATCAGTTGGGTTTTACCGAGCTCCACATGGCCGGGTACGTTTTTACCGAGCCTATTACGGCCGCGTACGATATGATGATGATGATGCCCACATAGGCATATGGTTTAAAAGTTTATGTATATATATATATATGTATCATGCATTTCATGTCACTAGCCCTCAGAGGTACCCAGATGTTACAGATTGTATATTCTCTATCCCTGCTTACATTACTGTTCGTACTTATGGTTCCTTGCCTTACATACTCAGTACTTTATTCGTACTGACGTCCTTTTATTTGTGTACGCTGCATGTCGTGCTGCAGGTCCTGATAGACAGGCAGATGCAGCTTCCCCACCACAGTAGCCTGTCCTGTTTAGCGGTGATTGGCGAGATCCCTTCTTCGGACTTGCCGTGGTCTTGGTATGCATTTTTGTTATAGACATTATGGGTATGTCGGGGCTCTTTTCCGGCAATGTTGCAGCACTTATGTTCCTTTAGAGGCTCATAGACAGGTGTCGACTCATGTATAGTTTGGTATACCTTGTCGGCTGGTTTTTGTTGTATAGTCTTTCATGGTAGCGTGGTAGCTCGTACCTTATGTATAGTTTCTTGATTGTCTTGTCATCCCATGTTATGTATGTTCATGCCATCATCTTTTATTGTTAGTTGTCCATGATCCATGTCTACTAATAAGTCGGGATTTTAATTATACTCCTACTTGCCTATGCTTTGAGTATAAATTGCTACAAAATAGTCCCAAAATGCTCACAGGTTTTGCTTGATTACAGGTTTGATCGACAAAGTGACGAAATGTCAATGATCAGCTCAAAAAGGAGGGAAACCTGCTCAAGTATCAAAGACCAAGAGAATTGAAGGAAAAAGGGCCTACTGCGGACCGCGCAACAGTGACCGCGACCGTACTAGGAGGTTCAGAGATATGACGTATTCAGGCTTAAAGTCACGCGACCGCGGTAGGATTCTCGCGGTCCGCGGTGAAGCTTCGCGGCCGCACTCCTATTTTGTGCGGTCCGCGTTCATGAGATTCAGAGAGTTGGATAAGGGGACACAACCATGCCACGCGGTCCGCGTCCTGTTTATGCGGACCGCGCCAGACCCTCTCCACGGCCGCACTGTAATTTTACGCGGTCCGCGTGCCTAAAGATCAGAGAAGCAAAATAGCTAAGTCAAAGAGCCAGTGCGGCCGCGGTTACTTTTGTGCGGCCCGCACTGACCCCGCAGGGGTATTTTTGTCCAATTTTTTCAGCCTAGTATAAATAGAATATTTTACCATTTTTAGGTTTAATTTTAATTTCAAAACGCAGCTGTGCACCTGGGAACGAGTTTGTAGCCATTTTTGGCATTTTTGGTCTTCATTAACAATAGATTATTGTAGTTTCTTCTTAGTAATTAATTAATATGTTTAGTTCTTCATCTATTTTTTCTGTTTCTTCTTTAATTATGTGTAGCTAAACCCATTAGCTAGTGTTGTGGCTCAACCCTAGTGTGGGTAATTGATGGGTGTTGCCATCTAGGGTTAGATTGATATTGAGTGTTTGTTATTTGGGTTGATTTTATGTTTTCATTTAAGAATTGGTGGTTGTAAACATTGATTCAAGCTTAGTGGGTTTGACTCTTCTTGAGAAGGAGAGTCTAAGACCCCAAAATTGACCCAACAAGGAATTGGGATGGACTCATGAGAAATGATAGTCCCAATTAACGGGTTAAATCTCGAGAGAGTAATCACCCTACTTGAACCCTAGCTGCTTGGTCTAATTGGCCTACCCAATTGGTCTCGAGAGAGTCAATTGGGCAAAATTACTCTCTCTACTGAGAGGTGTGAGAGTGGGTTCAATTGTGCAACGGTTATAGTATGAGCCCCAAATATGTCAATCTATCCTTAGTATTTTCTACCCGTTAATTAACCACCTAGGTGATCCCATGACCCTAGTGTCTTTCTTCCCATTAATTACAACTTAGAAATATTCTCTTAGCATAGTTTAGCTTTAATCCTTAGTTTTATAATAGTAGTTATAAGTACAAAAACCCAAAAATGTTAAAATGCAATTAGAAGCACAAACGCAACTCTAGGCTATACAGACAATACAACTCCACTACTAGCTCCATGTGGAAATTCGATCCCGAACCATTATTCGGGTAAAAGCTATTGCGATCCGCTCTTACTACCATTGTGTAGCGTCGAGTCGGCAGCGATCACTTTTTGGCACCGTTGCCGGGGAGCTTACGGTGTTGACTATCTGTTTAGTTAGTTTTGTGTTTTGCTTCTCTTTCCTTCTTTTTACTAATTCTGTTTGTGTCAATCACTCAGGTACACATGGCTTTAAATGCAAATGACCCTCTTGGCAACGTGGTCGCGGGGGAGGAGGTTGAGGATCTTGAACAAGAAGATATATTACCTCAAGCTCAAAGGAGAGGTCGAAATTCCAATGCAAATGCTAATCCGAATGAGAACATTCCAGACCCTCCTTTGCCTCCACCAAGAGTGGACCCAAGAGTTCTCCCAAATCAAGGGTATAGCGAGTGCCATTGTTCCTCCCCGAATCCGGGCAGGGAACTTTCAAATCACAAATGTTATGTTGACCTTGCTCGAGCAAAGAGGATATTTTACGAGTGCCTCCAATCAAAATGCCTACAAGCACTTGAAGGGATTCGTAGATACATGCTGGGGTAGCAAGCAGACAAACGTGTTGGAGGATGCGATGAGATTGAGGCTTTTCCCGTTCTCTCTTCGGGGTAAAGCGTTGGATTGTTTAGAAAGGCTCCCCAATCATTCCATCACAATGTGGGATGAATTGGCGGACAAATTCATTTCCAAGTTCTTTTCTCCAAGTCACATGGTTGCGCTCCGTGATGAAATTTTGGCTTTTAAACAAGAGCCAACGGAACCCTTGCACGAAATATGGGAGAGATTTAGAACTATAGTGAAAGAGTGCCCAAATAATGATATGACGGATGTGATGATTCAACAAACATTCTATAGGGGAATCAACACCACGAACCAATGTATTGTGAATCAATTGGCCGGCAGAAATTTTATGAAGCTTCCCTACAATGAAGCTTGTGATGTTTTGGATGAAATGGCCGATACTTCTTCGGCATGGCAAAGTCGAGCAAACGTTCCTCAAGGTGACCCTACGGTCATACATTTGCATAAGGAGTTGCATGACCACGTCCAAGCTATTGCCGAACTTACAACAATAATGAATCAATTGGCGAAGGCGCAATTACAACAAGTCCAAAGCCCGCGCCAAGTCAATGCCATGGAAGGAGTTAATATGTTAAAAAGGAGGCAAAGAGGGCAACAACCTCAAGGAAATTGTGATAACTATGATGATGGGAATGATTTTTTGAATGAGTGTTATGATGATCAAAGCGAGGAGGTTAAATATGTCAATAACTACCAAGATATTCGAGGCAACTCTTCTAACCAAAAATGGCGACCCCAAGGAAATTGGGGCAATCAACAAGGTGGTAATTGGAACAATAACAACAACCAAGGTGGAAATTGGGGGAAAAACAATTCGGGTAATCAAGGGAATTGGAACGGGAACAACAACAACAATTGGAACAACAACAATGGTCAAGGTGGGTGGAATAACAATGGTGGTCAAGGCAATCGGGGGCAAGGCTTTCAAAGGCCTCCGATGTATTAACAACCGAACAACCCGCCGCCGTTTCAATCTCAAGGGTCTAGTTCTTCGGGTAATGACATGGGTCGAATTGAGGTTATGTTCGAGCAAATGATGAAAAAGTACCAAGACTCCGATGCTCAATTGGCTTCTCACAACACCTCTATCCGTAACTTGTAGGTGCAACTCGACCAAATCTCTCAATCTCTAAGCACTCGCCCAAAGGGTGCTCTACCAAGTGATACAGTAGTAAACCCTAAGGGTGAGAATGATAATCATGTGATGGCGGTTACAACGCGAAGTGGGAGAGGCGGTGATGTGCATGCCTCAAGAGGAAATCAAGTTATGGTTGATGATAATGAGTTGCGGGATGATGATATACCTTTGGTGGTTGAGGATGTAGTTGAACCCAATGTGAACAATGATGTGCGGATTGATATTGATGAGGTTGAGGAGGAGAAACAAGACCGTGAACCCGTCTAGGGGACACGTGATTGATATGCCCGAGCCGGTGGTTCCCAAAGCCAAGGCACCCTTGCCTAGGCCCCCTCCGCTTTATCCTCAACGGTTGGCCAAGCAAAAGGGTGACAACCAATTCAATAAATTCATTGAGATGATGAAGAGTCTAACTATCAATGTGCCTTTGATGGAGGCACTTGAGCAAATGCCGGGGTACGCAAAGTTCATGAAGGATTTGGTTACGAAAAAGAGGTCAATGGAGTGTGAGGCAATCAAGATGACTCATCAAGTGAGCGCAATCGTACATTCTATGGCTCCAAAACTTGAGGACCCCGGAGCATTCACTATACCTTGTACCATCGGAAGTGCCAAATTTGCCAAAGCCCTTTGTGACTTGGGGCCGAGTATAAACTTAATGCCATATTTGGTCTTCAAGACCTTGGGAATTGGACAACCTCACCCAACTACAATGAGGCTCCAAATGGCGGATCGGTCAATGAAGCGGCCTTTGGGTATAATTGATGACGTCCTTGTCCGTGTTGATGAATTCATCTTGTCGGCCGACTTTGTTATATTGGATTGTGAAGTGGACTTTGAAGTCCCGATTATTCTTGTAAGACTTTTCCTAGCTACGGGTAAGGCTTTGGTTGATATTGAGGTGGGAGAGTTGAATTTCTGTGTTGGGGATGAGAAGGTAGTGTTCCATGTGTGCAAGTCCATGAGGCGACCAAATAGCAGCGAGGTGTGCTTGTTTGTGGACATTGTGACGACGGTGATAGTGGATGACACAAGTGCGATGATTAATGTTGAAGATCCATTTGAGGCCGTTCTTCTAAATATGGATGTCAATGATGATGCTGGGAGAGTGGAGTGCGTAAATGCATTGCATGGTATGGGTTCATATTCATATGAGCCTAGGAAGTTGTCCTTGGATCTTGAAAATTGCAAAACTCCACCAATTAAACCATCTATTGAGGAGCCGCCGGTGTTGGAGTTGAAGCCATTTCCTCCTCACCTCAGATATGAATTCTTGGGCTCTAATTGTACTTTGCCTGTTATTCTTTCATCTTGCTTAACTAACATGCAGGTTGACGCCACTTTGGCAGTTCTACAAAAGCGCAAGAAGGCGATTGGATGGACATTGGCCAATATTCGGGGTATAAGCCCCGCATTTTGCATGCATAAAATCATATTGGAAGAGGATGCGATGCCTTCACTTGAGTATCAAAGAAGACTAAATGAGGCAATGCAAGAAGTGGTAAAGAAAGAGGTTATCAAGTGGCTTGACGCCGGTGTGGTGTATCCCAGTTCTGACAGTTCATGGACTTCTCCGGTGCAATGTGTACCGAAGAAGGGCGGGACGACTGTTGTGACCAATGACAACAATGAGTTTATTCCTACTCGGACAGTGACGGGTTGGAGAGTTTGTATGGATTACCGGAAGCTTAACAAGGTGACTAGAAAAGATCATTTCCCGTTGCCGTTCCTTGACCAAATGCTTGATCGTCTTGCGGGTCGGGATTTATATTGCTTTTTGGATGGTTACTCGGGGTACAATCAAATTCTCATTGCCCCGGAGGACCAAGAGAAGACCACCTTTACATGTCCTTATGGCACATTCGCTTTCTCTAGAATGCCATTTGGATTGTGTAATGCTCCAGCGACCTTCCAACGTTGTATGATGGCTATTTTCACCGACACGGCGGAAGATATTTTGGAGGTTTTCATGGATGATTTTAGTGTGGTTGGGGATTCTTTTGAAGAGTGCTTGGGAAATTTGGATCGAGTGTTGGCCCGATGTGAAGACACGAACCTAGTTCTCAGTTGGGAAAAGTGCCATTTCATGGTAGAAGAGGGTATTGTGTTGGGTCACAAGATTTCGAAGAGAGGAATTGAAGTTGATAAGGCCAAGATCGAGGTTATTTCAAGGCTTCCTCCCCCTACTTCTGTCAAAGGGGTGGGGAGTTCTCTTGGGCACGCGGGTTTCTACCGAAGGTTCATCAAAGATTTTTCTAAGGTAGTTAACCCGTTGTGCAAGTTGCTAGAGAAAGATGCCAAGTTTGTTTTTGATGAGAAGTGCATGGAGGCTTTTGAGCTTCTAAAACACAAGTTGACAACTACCCCTATCATTACCGCACCAAATTGGAGCTTGCCTTTCGAGCTCATATGTGATGCTAGTGACGTTGCGGTGGGGGCGGTTTTGGGCCAAAGGATCAACAAGATGTTCCCTCAGGTGTACTACTCAAGCAAAACCATGAATGAGGCTCAAAGAAACTACACAGTCACCGAGAAAGAGTTGTTAGCTATTGTTTTTGCTATGGAAAAGGGTCTTCGTCTTTATTTTTTGCTTCCTGGGGATGATAGTGTTTCCTATGAAGAAGGCTAGGATCCACACCGGATTGGCCATGGTAACTAGGACATTAATTGAGGGAATTGACGGACAACCTTTTAGCATAGTACCTATGATAGTCGCAGAAATATACCGAGCCCTGGAGAAATGTCAACGAGGGCCCAAGCACTTTAAGGGCTGTAACCTGCTACTCCAACTCTAGCTCGTGGAGAACCTTCAAAGGGGTGAATACCGGCAAGAGATTCTGCGCAGAGACTGGAATGATCATATCGCCTTCCATCAGCCAAGGTGGATGAACTATATGCCCAACATGTTTGCTCAACCTGAAAATGCCAAAGGGTGGGTAGAATTGTTCGACAATCTAAAAGAGGACCAAGTGTAATGGATGTTTGAATGGTTCCCTACTGAAGAGTTCATTACCCGATCCAGGGAGGCACCTTTCCTCATACTTATCGGTCTGAGGGGAACTTACCCTTACGTTCCTCTCCGAGTTATGAGACAGGCGGGGAGGAAGCAGATTATACCAAGGGTCGAAAAGATGAGCCACTTTAGAGCTGACTTTCAGGATGATGATAGCCCAAACAAATGCCAAGCTCAATACATGTGGCATTGCAAAATCGTCCTGGGAAGGGATTCTATTGAACCAGACAGGTATCACGCTGGTTATACTCCATACTATCTGGATTGGTTGGAAGACGGGCGAGATGGGTTAGGCCAACCAGAGTTTGTTCGAGGTCACAGGATTATCGACGAAAGGGCTGAAGCACAAGTAAAATATAACCAACAGCGCAAGAGGGTCCGGGAAAGCGAAAGTGAGCATCAGGAAATTCAAGAAGCTCATCAAAAGCTGATCGAGGAATGGAAGGATATGGATGTCCGCGTCAACAAGCGACTGGGATATTTAGAACAAGGTATAGTGGAGCTGGAAGGAAAGTTCATCAAAAGGATCGAAGACTGTCAAAATGCCGAGGGAAATGCGGGCGGACATCTGGCCCGAGTATTTGCTGCTAGGACTTCGCGAGCTGATGAAGCTGTTGGAGGGAGCTAAAAATGCCGAATCTGGGGAAGGTCCTTCTGGGACCAAGTAGTTAGGAGTCTTTATTTCTTGCTTTCAATGTAATAAGGCCATTAGTGATATTTTACTTTCTGTTATTTAGCGTCGTTTTGGGATTTGTCTTATTTTTATCAATATAATGAGGCATTTAGCATTATAAGTTCTCCAAATTAACTTGTCGCTAGGCCTACCTCGGGCACAACGAGGCTCCCCAATTAGGACACGATTTATATTCCTGCATTGTGTGTTTAAATACTGCAGTGTTTCCTCCTCATGATCTGCACTAACTTATTACCTTTTTGTTTTTCTTTTATTTTTATTCCCTTCCCCAAAGGTTAGTTCGTGCACTCTGGCAACATCATCATACTGCACAAGATCCAAGGGCCCTCCACCTCCTCCTCCTCCTCCGAGTCCTATCCGAAACAAGAACAAGGGAAGAATGGGAGATTCAAGCGCTAGAAAGGAAATTGAAAGGGTAGAGATTCATCAGGGTACCCCGGTTGCCAAGGAGACTGCTTCCTAGCTCGAACAAAAGTTACTAAAGTTTCAAGAAGAATTGGACCAAGTTCTGAACTTGGCGAATTTGTCATTTTCTCTCACCACTCCCGATATCAATTTTCCCAACACCCAAAATCCTGCACCTCCACAGAACACCCCACAACCATAGAAACAACCCACTCATACTCAGCATTGCAACACATGCCACACTTCCAACAATGCTCCATTGCTCATTCCTGAACCAACAAACACCATAAATGATCATCTCCACAACACCCCCATCTATGTGGAGACCATACCCCACTATACTCAACCAATCTCAAGTGCACCTGAGTCTGATGACAAAGAATCTCTTATCAGGAACCTGGCCACACAACTCAAGAAGCTGACTAGCTGAGTCCAGGGTGTCGAAGGAAACAAAGGTATTGAGGGGCTGAATTATGAGGACCTTTGCATTCAGCCAGATGTCGAACTTCCTGAGGGGTACAAACCTCCCAAGTTCGAAATGTTTGATGGCACAGGGGAACCCAGAGTCCATTTGAGGACGTACTGCGACAAGCTGGTCGGAGTCAGAAGGGATGAAAAGATCCGTATGGAACTCTTTATGAGAAGTCTGAAGGGGGATGCTTTATCTTGGTACATTAGCCAAGACCCCAAGAAGTGGACAAGCTGGGTAGGTATGGCGTCCGATTTCATGGACAGATTCAGATTCAATACAGAGAATGCACCAGACGTATTCTACATCCAGAATTTGAAGAAGAAACATACAGAAACATTCCGCGAGTATGCTACTCGTTGGAGATCGGAGGCTGCTAAGGTCAGGCCGGCCTTGGAAGAAGAACAGATGAACAGATTTTTCGTCCGGGCCCAGGATCCATAATATTATGAGAGGTTGATGCTAATCGAGGGCCGGAAATTCTCCGATATCATCAAGCTAGAGGAAAGAATCGAGGAAGGCATTAAAACTGGTATGGTCACCAACCTTGAAGCGTTGCAGGCTACCAATAAGGCTTTACAGTCTGGTACCACGTCCAAGAAAAAGGATGTGAATGTCGTGATGGTTGCACAGAGGAAAAAATCCCCGATAAAATACCAAACATGCCCATTACCTCCACTTATATATCTGCCTACCCCAAATTACCAAGCACCCTCACCCTCATACCAAATCCCACCACCCACTTACCAATCATCTCCACCTCCCACATATCAACCCACTTCACCCAGATACTCTCAGCCCGCACCTGTCTACCAAGCTTATAATGCTCAACCCTCTCACTATCAATCACCTCCCACTCGCCAAAACATCCCTAGACCTAGACCAAATTTTGACCGCAGACCTCCCAAACAATACACAGCCATCGCCGAACTAATTGACCAGCTATATGAAAGGCTTAAAGCTTCTGGTTATGTTACCCCTATCCCTGCATTAACTCCAGAAAATCCTTCCTAATGGATCAACCCAAACAAAACCTGTGCATACCATTCCGGCATGAAGGGGCATACCATCGACGAATGTCGTTCGCTGAAGGATAAGATCCAAGCCTTGATTGACAATATGATCATCGTTGCAAAGGAGCCTACTCCTAATGTTCGCAACAACCCTCTGCCTGACCACTAGGGTGGAGGCATTCACATGATCGAAATAGAGGATGATTTGGACCCCAAAGGATCGATTGGATTGATTGCTAAAGGTGATGAGCCGAAGAAACCAACAGTCACGCTTAACCCGATTGTTGTCAAAATCCAGCCTTCTGGGGACGATGAGGTGAACATGTCCATACCGCTTGAGTTCGAAGCGCCCCCTCCCACAAAGGCGCCAGGACCAATTGAGGTCGAGTTTGGACCCCCGAAAGCACCAACGCCATTTGAAGTGGCCGTGTTACCATCCAAAGGAAGGGTAACTATTCCTGTAGCTATGTCAGCCATAGCACCATTCCATACGAATGCCATTCCTTGGGGTTACACAGCCGAAGCAAGAAGGAAAGGGAAAACCAAAACTGGGGAAGCCATTGCAACACAAGGTATGACCAGAACCGGCAGGATTTACACTCCAGAACACCTAGCTGAGTCTAGTAAGCAAGCCTCTGGACGACCAACCGTCACTGAAACTGGGCCTGATGACCTCTGGAGAAAGATACAGGAAAAGGAATATTCTGCCATTGAACAACTGAACAAGACGCCAGCCCAGAT